GGGGGGGGGGGGGGGGGGGGGGGGGGGGGGGGGCAGAAATTCCAGTCTGGCCAACCCTCCTTTGTAAGACTCTATAAAATCAGGGAGAGGCTGAATTTCTCCCTTTTTTCCCCCCACATAAATTTTCACTGTTCTGTCCTCATGAATATGCTCTCATTTTGAGTTTGGTGTGTGTGTGTGTGTGTGTGTGAGAGAGAGAGTCAGAGAGAGAGAGAGAGAGACAGCGACAGAGACAGAGAGAAAAGAGAAGGGAGACAGAGAGAGACAGAAAGACAGAGAGACAGAGAGAGTGAGACAGAGAGGAGAAAGAGAGAGACAGAGACAGATAGAGAGAAGAGAGAAGGGAGAAAGACAGAGACAGAGATAGAGACAGAGACACAGAGAGATAGAGACAGAGAGGAGAAAGAGAGAGACAGAGACAGAGAGAAGGGAGAGAGGAGAAAGAGAGAGACAGAGATAGAGACAGAGAGGAGGAGAAAGAGAGAGAGACAGACAGAGACTGCTGGGCTGTGGATTACAATTCCCATCCTTCTTGACCATGATAACTGACAGGTCTTCAGCAGGATGTCTGGCCAAATAGTTCCGCTGTTAGTCGAAGTGTCCAGCTAGCTGAAGAGGGCCCCGAGTTCTAATCCCTCCTCAAAGGAAGGTTGATGGCCACTCCTCAACCTACCCTGCAGGGTTGTTTGGAGGGTGACACGGAGAGGGAAACTGAGCTCCCCGGAGGATGTCCTGTCATTTGGGGGCGAGGGGGGGTTTGCATGAACGAGGCTCCGTTTCCATCTGCAAACATCGTCTTGCCTTTAGGAGAAGAACTGGTGAAACGCTGCACGGTGGCATCCCCGACCAAGTGCGAGCCTTGCGATGAGAATTACTACAACGACGTCTATACCTACTCGCGGTGTAAACCTTGCACCGACTGTAACACTGGTAAGGCCCCGTCGGCAAACGAGACCACCGCAACCTCCTTCCTGGCTTCCTTCGCAGGAAAAAGTGTTGTTTTGTGGTTTCACAAATGGTGGCTTAGGTCTGGGTTGGTTTTGAATGGCTTTTTCCTGTGTTATAAATCTAAAAATGTATGTATGTATGTATGTATGTATGTATGTATGTATGTATGTATGTATGTATGTATGTAGAGTTTGGCCCTGAAATGTTGGTTGCTGAGCTATCCAAGCCACACTGAAACTTTCCCCGTTTCCAGGAAGCTCCGCTAGACATGGTGCCTGGAAATTGTCCGAAATCTCACTCTTTGCAGTCCGGAATTGATGTTTTATTTCTCATAGACCGAGGCCTCGAGGAGATAAGACCATGCCAGAGGACTTCAAACACTGTCTGCACCTGTCTTCCTGGCCATGCTCCCGAAGAAAGCCAACTTGAGGAGAAAAGTAAGGACCGAGGATGGCATTTCAGGGAAGAGAGAGAGAGAGAGAGAGAAATGGGCCCATCCAAAGTCAAACCTAGTGGGATACATCAATCATTGACCAGGGTGCTGTTTTGGAAAAGGTGATGGTTTTTCTCAAATTTGTTCCCAAGTAGGAGGCTTCTTGATCGGTTCTTTTCTTCCCTTGGTGTGGGGAACATTTATCTATCCGAGAAAGGGTGCAGAGAAGAGCAACAGAGATGCTCAAGAGGCTAAATTGTACGATTGCAGTGGGAACCTGGCTAGGTCTGGCCTAAAGAAGGGTTCGATGTCAACTCGTAAAGCATCCCTGGCCTGCTCTCGAGTTGCCATAGGCAGGAGGGGGCGGGAAAACTGATGGAGCAGCATGGCAGCCACAACCAGAAGCACATTCCATGCATACCTTCTTCAAGGCTGTATCCCAGGCTACCGGGACCAACCGCAGAGGTGTGAGCTCTACAGCCCTCGAAGTGCTCCGGTTGGAGAATGTGATTTATGACACACCTTGGGGGTGGGGGGGGTGGAAACAGGGTCATAACAACAGGGTGTAAATTACATGAAGCAGAGCTGAACTTCATCTGGGTATGTGTCGATATGTTGCTCTCCTAAAATAACTGGATTTCTTTTGAAACTTGGCTCGAGGCTCATGCTTTAATTAGGGCATCCGTCGGAACCCCGACATTGGGGGGGGGGGCATGAGCAGGTCTTCTGGTGCTTGAGGGGGCTGTCACAGAGAAGAAGGGGTCGTCTCATTCTCCAAAGCAGCAGAGAGCAGGACGAGAAGTACTGGATGCAAACTTAAGAGAGCCAGCGTAGAACTAAGGAGAAATTTTGTGACCGTGAGAACAATTGCAGTTAATCCTTGACTTCCAACCATTCGTTTAGTGACCGCTCAAAGTTGCAACGGCACTGGGGAAAGTGACCTGTGACCCTTTTTCACACTTACGACCGTTGCAGCATCCCCCGTGGTCACGTGATCAAAATTCAGAGGCCTGGCAACTGGCATGTACTTGTGGACGGTTGCAGAGTCCCAGGGTCCCTTTCTGACAAGCAAAGTCAGTGGGGAAGCCAGATTCCGCTTCACAACTAGGTTGCTAACTTATCCACTGCAGTGATTCACTTAACAATGACTGGCAAGAAAGGTCGTAAAACGAGGCAAAGCTCATGTAACTGCTTAGCAATGGAAAATTTAGGCTCAGCTGTGGTCGTACGTTGAGGACGGCTTGCAATCAATGGAAGAGCTTGTTTCCTGAGGTTGTGGGTGTGCTCCATTACTGGAGGTTTTCGACAATAGACCTGACAGCTTTTTGACTGGAATGTTAATAGATCTCCTCCCTTGAACAGGGGGTTGGACTAGAAGACCTCTGAGGTCCCTCCCAGCCCTCTATTGTTCAATTAAGATGGATTTCCTGGCCCAATTAGAAGAGTGTGGAGGAAAGCTGGGATATAAATCAAACACACACACACACACACACCAACAAAATAGCCACAGTGTCTCAGAGTTGGCTATCTGTCAGGATTCCGGCAGTTACTCCAATTAAATCATGAGCCTCGAGCCACACTCCCAAAACTAACAAAGATTTATTTGAGGGTAACATTCTACCTCCGGCATTTACCTGGGCGTAGCCAACTCTGAGATACGTAACTCACTGTCACCCTTGACCCTGCTTTTCTCCCCACCCCTCTGGGTGTATCACGTCCATAGCTAAGAGTGGAATGTTCTCCAATTAGATTTTTGCGCCTTCAGTCATCTAATCGGTGTTTGAAGAAAATATGAATGGAATGTACTTTCGATTCCACACTGCCGTCTGCTCTTTGAAACTCTCCCCCGCCTTTCTCCTTTCTGTTGTCAACTATAAAACGTATATACAAAATGTTTTATGAGTTGACACACAGGGGCTCCTAGCCAATCAGCAAATTTTGTTCAAAGCTTCATTCGTTTCTCCTCTGCGTCATTTTGCAGGATGCAAACCCTGTCCTAGAGGGTATTTTTCCAAAGGAGGGAACATGAAATGTCGCCCTTGGACCAAGTATGTATTTCCTTAAGTGAACCTCGCATGAATGGTGCATTGAATGGAAAGGGGTGTGTGGGGTGTGTGTGTGTGTGTGTGTGTGTTAGCTCTTCCAGGTAGGTCAGGTGGAGAAACCATCCCTGATTCACCCCAAATGGAGTTTGTTGGTTTTGATGCATCCTTGGCTTGGTGGGACTTGTTCAGAAATAAGGAGAAACTTTCTGACAGTGAGAACAATCAACCCATGGAACAGAAGTTGCCCTCAGAAGTTGTGGGAGCTTCATCGCTGGAGGCTTTCAAGAAGAGACTGGACTCCCATCTGTCAGAAATGGTGTAGGGTCCCTTGCTTGGGCAGGGTGGGGTTGGACTAGATGACCTACAAGGTCCCTTCCATCTTTGATATTCTATAGTCAATGAAACAGAAGTTGCCTTTGGAAGTTGTGGGAGCTTCATCCCTGGAGGCTTTCAAGAAGAGATTGGACTGCCACTTGTCAGAAATGGTGTAGGGTCTCCTGCTTGGGTGGGGGGTTGGACTAGATGACCTATAAGGTCCCTTCCAACTCTGATTATCTGTTATTTGTTATCTGAAGTGCATCTTGGCTTGGTTTAAATCAGAGGTCTCCAAACTTGGCAACTTGAAGACTTGTGGACTTCAACTCTCAGAATTCTCCAGCCAGCTATGCTCCTGCCAACTATGCTATGCTGGCTGGAGAATTCTGGGAGGTGAAGTCCACAAGTCTTCAAGTTGCCAAGTTTGGGGATCCCTGGTTTAAATGGAAGTTTGAATGCTGGGGAGGAAATGCCGTTGGGTGCAGCTGCTCCTTTATGGGTTTAGAGGTCTTTCGCTGTTGCCCGATTGCAAGAGAGAGGCTGAGTGAGATAAGGTGGGTGCCAGATGTGTGAACGTTGATGTCAAAACGGATCCAAACTTTCCCCTGTATTCTCTTCGCTTGATAAAAAATAGGAAATGGGGGGGGGGGGGTGGTTGCGGGGGCGAGGGGGGGGGGGGGGGGGGGGGGGGGGGGGGGGGGGAGCAGGTGCCACAGCGTAACCGGCTGGTTCCCAAAACAAAATGAACGGAAGTGACTGGTGGACGTCACGGACTGTGGGTGGCCAAGTAGGGAAAGAGGGAACGAACTAGGCCTGCTTTTGCGTGGAAAAACTCAGAGCTGGTTTTGCTTCTTCGGTGCCAAAGTGGATTTATTCAGTAAAGCTTTATACTCTCGGAAAAAATAACGTCCCGGGGAGTTTCTTTTCCTGGATTTCGCCAACGGGGCAGGTTGATATTTGAAAGGAGAGCGCGAACGAAATCTCAGCCCTTGGAAAGCGAGAAGTGTAAAGGAAGAGATTGCAACCTGTGGGGTGTTTTTTTTTTTAATCTCGGGGACTGTAAGACCTGTGCTTTTCAGCTCCCAGAATACCCATGCTGGCTGGGGGAATTCTGGGAGTTGAAGTCCACAGGTTTTGGCCTAGATGTAATCAAGAAACACTGATTTGAAACTAACCACCCTGGATTCTTTTTGGTACAAGACAGGATGAGTAGCAATTTCTACAAAGTGTCGTTATTGTTATTGTTATTGTGATGATGATGTTCAGTAACAGCACCCCATCCTTTGTCTTGAAATCTGGCTGCAAATTATTCCTTCCGTTTTGTAGTTGCACAGCCAGCGGCAGCAAAACCCTACGGCCCGGGAAGCAGGATGAGGATGCGATTTGTGACACACCATCCAGCAAGGTTCCCACCCAGGGCACCATCACGCAACCCACTCCCTTTCCAAAGACCCCTGTCCTCACCATGGAGCTGGATTCCTCTCCGACGGTTGTGCCTACAAATCCAGGTAAATTACCAGGCATGTGTGAAGGGGCAAGGAAGTTTACTCCTTAAAATTTAGAAAGTCTGCAGGGGGAAAACAGCAGAGGTGGCTGCTTCCTAGAATGTGGAATAAGAGAGCTGAAAGGGACCTCGGATGTCATCTGGTCCAACCCCTTGTTCAGGCAGGAGACCTTATATAGAATAGAGTAGAATAGAGTAGAGTAGAGTAGAGTATAGAGTAGAATAGTGTAGAGTAGAGTATAGAGTAGAATAGAGTAGAGTAGAATAACAGAGTTGGAAGGGACCTTGGAGGTCTTCTAGTCCAACCCCCTGCCTAGGCAGGAAACCCTACACCACTTCAGACAAAGGGTTATCCAATTTCTTGTTTAGAACTTCCAGTGTTGGAGCCTTCACAACTTCTGGAGGCAGGTTGTTCCACTGACTAATTGTTCTAACTGTCAGGGAATTTCTCCTTAGTTCTAGGTTGCTTCTTTCCTTGAGTTTCCATCCATCGCTTCTTGTCCTGCCTTCAGGTGCTTTGGGAATAGCTTGACTCCCTCTTCTTTGGGGCAGCCCCTGAGATATTGGAACCCTGCTATCATGTCTCCCCTAGTCCTTCTTTTCATCAGACTAGACATACCCAGTTCCTGCAACCGTTCTTCCTATGTTTTAGCCTCCAGTCCCCTAATCCTCTTTGTGGCTCTTCTCTGCACTCTTTCCAGAGTCTCAACATCTTTTTTACATCGTGGCGACCAAAACTGAATGCAGGATTCCAAGTGTGGCCTTATATAGACAAATGGCCGTCCAGTCTCTTCTTAAAAGCTTCCAGTGTTGAGGGACCCACAACTTCTGGTGGCGAGCCGTTCCACTGGTTAATTGTTCTCCCTGGCAGGCAATTTCTCTCCTTGATTAGTTTCCATCCGTTGCTTCTGGTCTTGCCTTTTCTAGCTTGCAAAGAAATTGGGGGAAGCCAGAGGAATGAACGCTTCATCGGACTTTCCTCTTCGGTTTTATTTTATTTATTTTAGGATTTGTATGGATTCTGATCACCTTTGTCCTCCTGCTGACCGTAGCTGGGGCCTTGGTCCTCCTGTTCTCTTATCGCAGGACGAAGAAAAAGAAACTGGACATTTTGTGCAACGGGATTTATGCCATCCCTTGCAAGGGTGAGTTTGGGGCCGCTGCCGAAAGGCGGGTTTAAAATGTGAGATTGTTGGCTTTGAGGGACCCCTTTCAAGGCCAGATGGGGCTGAATATAAGCCGATGAATTACACCCCTTTCTTATTTAATAATGTTTCTCCCCTTTTTATATTATTAATATGAGGAGCAGGAAGAGGAGGGGGGCGTTTTACTGCAGTTAGCTAATTGTTTTCTAGTGAAATTTGTTGCCATTCCTGCCAAATGACGAGAAGTCCTCAATGTACGACTATAATTGGGACCTGGCAGTTGTTAAGTGAGCCACAGCCAATTTTAAGACCCTTTTTTGGCATGGTTGTTGGGCAAATCACTGCAACTTTTAAGCGAACCACGCTTAAAACCAGTCATTAAGCAAATCCAGCTCCCTCATTTAACTTTGGCTTGTCAGAATTAGCTGGGAGGGTCACCAACGCAGGTCATATGACCCCAGGATGCTGTAACCATTGTAAACCCATGCCGGTTTACTAAACGCCCAAATTTTGATCACTGCGATGGACATAAGTGCAAGGACTGCCCCGGTCATCCGTCCATTGTGGGAATCAAAGCGTCTTTCCACGTTTGTGCATAAATCAAAGCTGAGCTCCAATTTCCCCCCACCCCACCCCCAAAGCCTTTTTCCATGAAACCCAAAAGAAAAGTTTCTGGTTTTATCTTTACACTTTGACAATCTTCTGTATCAGGATGCGAATCTTACTTACTGTGGATATTTCTCTGATGATGAAAAAGTCCCTTCTTGGCATTTGCATTTCCAACTGGTTGCAATTGGCTGCAAAAGTTGAAGGAGTTAGCAGAAAATGGCTAGAGGGGGCTGTTCTGATGAAAGAAAAGAAAACAAAACACACAACTACTTTTGTTTCTGCTTGGAAATTTTTGTGCTTGGGGTGGGGGGAAAAAATGAAAACTTTTGATTTTGGGCTTTGCTGGTTAGATAAATTTGTTGCTACAGAAATGACTACTTTACATGATTAGGCAAAAGTTAAAAAGTTGAGGTTTGGTGTTATTATCTTATTCTGCTGCACCCAACACCTTCTCTTTCTTTCTTCCCCTCTTTTGCTACACTTTTCCCTTCCCTTTCTCCCTCCCCTCTTTTTCCTATTCTTTCCTTTTCTATATTTTATATTATAAACTAATAAGCAAAAAGCATAGGTACGAGAACTGGTCGTACATCACTTTTTTCAGTCCTGTTGTAACTTCTGGCGGTTGCTAAACAAATCTTTGCAAGTCAAGAACTACTTGTAGCTTCGTTACAAGCTAAGAAATGAGTCATTAAAGATTATGCTTAAATTGCAATTTTCATATCATCTTTTGAGTTGCGTTCTTTGAAATGTACGTAATTTTTCCCTCGTCTTTTTCTTTCAGAAGAGAACGATTTTCGAATGCCAATCCAAGAACAAGAAGTCGGGGATAAATCCGAATTTGTTCAGGGCTGACCTACGAAAAGGAACAACAACAACAATAATAATTAAAAAAACCACCCGAATTTTGACTTCTGAATCAGAAATTGCTCAGAGTTCATGTTTTTCAACCGTTCTTTTTTTTATTCTGAATGAATCAGCGTCTTTTCCGTATCTTTTTTTTTTCCGTTTCTCCCACCTGATGCTGTTTCCATTTTCTTCTTCTTCTTCTTCTTCTTCTTCTTCTTCTTCTTCTTCTTGTGGTTCCTTTTGAAGAACCTGCCCGAATTTATATATTCATATATATTTTTCACAGCCTTCTTTGTTTTAAAAAAAGAATGTGAAAAACTGCTTGCAGATCATTTTATTCTTGTTTTTATTCATCCAAAGATAACAGGAAGACTCATAGTAACCCTTGATTTCTTAGGAAACTTGAGGTATTATAACCAGAAACCTAAGAATTATAACAAGGAAGTTAGATGGGCCCAGCTGATATTAATATAATTATTACAATAATGTAATAATAACAATTATTATTAATATTTGTTGTTCAGCTTCTAATACTTCAGGCTGTAAATAAGAGCAAGCAATAGTGATTTTTTCAATTTACATCGCGGAATGCAACAGAATTCAAGCTTTGAAGTTAAAATACTTTAAAAAGAGAAGCTGGCAACAGATATCTGCTTTTATAAAAGCAATATATGCCATGTATTTTTTTTAAGTTGAATACCCTTCAACTTTTCGCTCTGTTTCTTGAAGGAAATATTAACTTTACTCCCCAAAAGGGAGCCTGATAGGCATAAATATATAGATGTAAGTCCTCAGTTAGATCCACTGGATCTCCATGGCTATTCAGGGGATTTTATTGGCGCATAAAATGCCAGGGCTGTAATACAAAGATTGGGGTTTGATCTTGCAAAAGACCATCTTACCTGTAGGTTGTTGTTTTTTAAAAAAAATAAAAATAAAAATTAGATTTGCCAGGCTCTTGGTCAAAACTAAGAACAGAGAAAGTTTTCCAGTTTAGGGCAAACTTGCCCAGGGAACTGTACAGTTCACAAATAAGGAACATTTATACAATTTGTTGCACTGTAGAATTTGTTCTAATTTCATTAGATGCTGCCTCCAAATGTCTTTAAGTATGACTTTCAAAGGGATCTGATTTTTGAAACGTCTGTTTGAATGGACTATTTTAAGATTCGGCCGATCATTTTTTTAAAATTCACCCACAACCATCTTGATGATACAAAATATCTGGATCTCCTTTGATTATTCTCTTGCCCTTCTTCAACATTTTGAAGAGAGGAGGAGGAGGAGGAGGAGGAGGAGGAGGAGGAGGAGGAGGCCTGAGACCTGATGTAAAAATACTATTTTCTTTTTAATTACATAATGTTGAACTGTAAATATGGTTCCTTTGTAAAATCCTACAAATGCTTTTCATGTCTGTTGGTCTGTTTCTGGCTAAGCTTGTGGGGTGGGTGGGGGGCAAAGTACACTGAAAAACAGGATGGAAATGTCCCCAAATGGAACCTCTTCTGAGGTTTGGATCAGAAAGCAGGAGAATGTGAGTTCAAATCTCGCTTTAGGCATGGAAGCTGGCAGGACCAAACTCCCTTTCTCTCCGCTCACCTCACCCCACAGGGCTGTTGTTGTGGGGAAAATAGGAGGAGGAAGGTGCATTGGATATGTTTGTCACCCTGAAATTATTTGTAAAAATAATAAATACAGGATATAAACTGCGTGAAATTTTCTGTGCTTCTTTTTCTTTGCACAAGCATAAAGGTGTATGTCACTTTGGCTACAGCCAATCTTCTTTTCCTTGATCATCTGATTTTCGTTTGCTTCTAGTAATGCTCCAAGCAACCCTAAAGGTTTGTAAATGAACCGCTGAGGTCATCTAGTCCAACCCCTGCGATTCAAGAAATTGGCTTCCCTAAATTCCTGGGCAGATAAGCAAATAACTGGCTTCAAACTTCTGAAAACCCATCACTTCGTTTAGCAGACCAGAATCTGTAAAGCCTCTGACTTGTTTAGCTTTAGCTCTTATACCCTCCACTGGCTGAGGAATTCTGGAATTGAAATCCACACATCTTAAAGATGCCAAGGTTGAGAAACCTTGCTATAGAGTCCATAAGGTAACTTGGGTAAAGAAAGACATTACATTATTGAATGGCTTAAATCTAACTTCAGAGAATGCCTCCACATTCTCCTTGTAAATCTGTTTTCCTCTACCAAGATTAGAGAGAAAGAAGAAAAAGAAAGAAAGGAGGGAGGGAGGGAGGAGAGAGAGAGAGAAATAGAAATAGAAACAGAAAGGGAAAGAAGAGAGAAAGAAAAGGAAGGAAGGAATCTATTGATACGGGAAAAAATTGTGATTTTCTTCCCCAGCTTTTGAGTTTTGATTTCTTCAACCTAAATTTCTTCAACTTAGCAAAAGGCCATTTCTCTCTTAAAATAAAGCAAGAATCGTCCAACCGTTTCTTACAGTTTCTTAAAATTGCCACAAGCTTCCTGAAAACTGATGGGCCATTTTCCTATTTTATAACAATTTTCCGTTCTTCCTCCTCCTCACACACACACACACACACACACACACACACACACACACACACCTTTTTTTTTTTTTTGAAATGTAACGCTCCCTTCTAGCATGCTATTTGGTACAAATCTGAAAAGAATATTTTGAAATGTCAACAAACCAATCAATAGCGGAATATATTTTAAAGAAAATAGGGGAATTCTCTCTCTCTCTCCCTCCCTTTCTCTCTCTCCCTCTTTCTTTCTCTCTCCCTCCCTTTCTCTCTCCCTTTCTTTCTCTCTCTCTCCCCCTCTCCCTCCCTCTCTTTCCTTTTCTCTCCCTTTCTCTCTCTTTTTCTCTCCCCCTCTCCCTTTCTCTCTCCCTCCCTCCTTTTCTCTCTCCCTTTCTCTCTCTCCCTCTCTTTTTTTCTCTCCCCCCTCCCTTTCTCTCCCTCTTTCTCTCTCCCTCCCTCTCTCCCTCTTTCTCTCTCCCTCCCTCCTTCTCTCTCTCTCCCTCTCTTTCTCTCTCCGTCTCTCTCTCTCTTTCCAACAATTTTCACAGCCCCTTTCACTCCTCTGATGAATCACCCATAGTCATTAAGTAACAGACAATCTTCAGATTGTATCACCTGACTTCTTTTCAGACAGCAAACAAAAATAATTTTAGAAAAATCTGCATATGAAAGAACCTTTGCAGATTCAGAAATAGCTGAGGCATCATACCTATCGGGTTTTCGTAATTCACTGCAAGGCAAGAGGTGGTGGGGACTTTCCCATTCAAAGATGCTGATGCTTGTAAAATCAATTATGCTGTCCTAATCCAGATTTGTTCGGGGAACCTTAGTTCCAAGTTTATCCTAGCTTGGCTCTTCATGTCTGAATCCAGTTTCTGGTTAGGATAACACTAATAAAGATAAGACTGCATTGAATAAAGGGTAGTTTTATTACTGATCAGGAAGGGACTAGTAACTGGACTTCTTTTCTTCCAGATAGCTCTGCCTGGATGACTTGAGAATATTAATGGACAATTTAGTTATTGTTATAACTAAAGGAGTATTGGCAATACTCTCCACCCAAATCATATGTCCCTTGGCACTAATTCTGACCAATCGTGACTTTCTTTTGGTCAGGGTATGTTAGTAGGTAGGTAGATAGGTAGGTAGGTAGGTAGGTAGGCAGGGAGGAAGGCAGAGACAGATATAGAGATGAGAGAGACAGAGACAGAGGAGGGAGGGAGGGAGATGGAGAGAGAAAGGGAGAGAAAGAGAGAAAGAAAGTGAAAGAGGGATAGAAAGAAAAAGAGAAGGAGAGAGAGAGAAAGGGAGAGAAAGAAGAAAGAGAAAGAAAGTGAAAGAGAGAGACAAAGAGAAAGGGAGAGAAAGAGAGAGAGAGAGAAAGAGAAGGAGAGAGAGAGAAAGGGAGAGAAAGAAGAGAAAGAAAGTGAAAGAGAGAGACAAAGAGAAAGGGAGAGGAAGAGAGAGAGAAAGAGAAGGAGAGAGAGACAAAGGGAAAGAAGAGAGAAAGAAAAAAGTGTGTGAGAGAGAGACAGAGACAAAGAGGGGCAGAAAGAGTGAGAAAAAAACAAACAAACCACAGATCTTCCCCTACATTGAAACCCAGTGACAGGGTTTGGCTGGGAAGGAAACGGGTAAAAACTCACATGAAAAGCCTACAGGTGTGGGGGGGGGGGCACCTGCAAAGCCAAGCCTTGTGTTTGCTGCTGAATTCACACAACTACCCCCCCCCCTTTTTTTTTTGGCAAGATTTCGCAGCCCTTGTTGTATTTCCTGCCTGCTGCCTTTTCTCCCCCACCTACTTTTATCCGAAAAGTCAGCCTTTTCGTGGCCGATCTCAACCGCGTCGCTCAGGGAATGTCCCTTGTGATGAGGGTGGCGTAGGTCCCCACGCTGCAAACCAAGAGATAGTTTGAAGGAAGATCAGGGAAGGCCTACCTTAATGTTGATCTCTGAGGCTATTTCCAGTTTCCAAGATTCTGCAGCCTTATTTACTCCGTTGTGAGCTTCCATAACTGGCTTTGCATCGTTTCTTCCCTCAACTGGCTTACAGAGGCAGGGCCTCCCTTCGGTAGACGTTCCACAACTTCTAGCCTCAGACACGGTGGCTGGCCTTTCAGAGAATTAGCTCTGCCACATCTGAAGGGCTTTGGTTTGTCCACATGTTGCATGCTACCCAGTCCAGATGTTGGTGCGAATTGCAGTCCAGTAACTTTGGAAGACATTAAGGTCGAGGTGGTTATAATGGCAACTGCTGAAGATGCTACAGTTGAAGCTTCAACATCCTGGATTAGCTATGGAGTCCTGGGCAAACTTGAGGTTGACTCTGAGTGTTCCAGTGGCTCCTTGCATTTTCATGACTGGGATTCAGAAGGTAGATCCCACCAGCGATCTCCTTCTATGCATTTTTGATGGGTTTCTGTCTTACAGAATCCAAAGCCATTTATCCTCCAGACCTGCTAAGAACTCAACTGGACCAAGAAGATACCTTCAGCTGCCAGTTCCCAGAGGAAAAACGTGGGGAGAAGGTACTGCGAGAGAACTTCTCATTGGGCATCAGTGGTCCACTGAAAGCTCAGGCTAGTTGGCAAATGAGCGCGGGCGGCCAAGTATCACAGCTTACCTCTCTGGGACATAAATCTCTTCTCCAGATTCAGGTGATGGATGAAAATGAACGGTTGGCTTTTAAGAAGCTTTGCTCCAGGTTGACTCCATTATCAGTTGTAAAGTTGGAGAAGGTCTCTGTGGACATTTTGGCCCCGTAGAGAAAATTATACGCCCGAGTCACAAGTGAGCCCCATACCTGTCCTTGTTTTCAGAGACGAGAACATTGAATGTTTCTGTTTCAGAGTAGATCTGCTAATTTAGGATGTGAATAAACAAAACAAAATATCGATCTCCTGACTTGAGGCCAGAGTTGGAGTCACAGAATAGGGTAGATCTCAAGAAGAAACTGATGTGTTGAAGGCTAAATTAAAATGGTGTCTGGATTTTATTCTTTTTTTTTTTTCCCCCAACCTGGATTGTCTCACCGTTTTACCAGATAATATATTCCCACAAAACCTTCTCCCTGTGCAATTTTCAATAGCACGAATATTTCACGTCCCAGTTTTATTTCTAACAAAGTTAAACAAGTCAGCTTGGAAGTCCCTGAAAGATGAATCAACCAGCTTTCCTAAACGCTTTTTTTTGTTTTGCTCCAACACATTTCTTGAAATGGGTTGCGTTTTCACACACACACACACACACACACACACACACACACCCCTTCCATGTTGGCCTGTTTTTTTTTTTGCTTTCAAACGTGGTCGCCCTGCCCCAAAGGAAATGCTAGTTTCTGAAGCTTTGCAGAGCTACCCTTGAGACGAAGGAAGAGCCTCCTTGTCAAATAAACAGTAAGATTTTTTTAAAAAGGAATGTGGAGCTTTGATTTTTTGTGTGTGTGTGCCTCCTTTACAAAACCAGACAGACTTTGATTCCTGAAGTCTTGCTTTGCTCTCCTTTGGGGTGGTGAAGCTAGAAACAGGGAGATTTGTAGAGGCAAATTGTTCCTTTTCTGAATGTCTTAGCTTTTGCAGGAGAAGGGCGGCCTTCTAGGAATAAGGAGCCTAATTTGCATCAATCCCAAATCCTTCAGGATTTAGCATTGCAAGGAGTCCCTTGGTGTTTTGGGTGTTTATTAAAATCACTGCTCCCAATGGGATATTGTCATGGGTGTAATAAAATTTAGGAGAGATGGACTCACAAGGAGGAAGGAGGAAGGCAGTTTAAAGGTTTTTAACCTCTTGATGACGGTAGCTGCTTACTTCGTCCCTCACCAAAGATACTCATGGACGATGTATAGAGAGAATTCTAAAGGTGATTGTTGTGAGCTAGAATAACCACATACATTCTTTAGTGGGAGGCGAAATCTCACGGAAAAGCTCATTTTCCCACGCGGGAGTTGGGAATCTTGGTTGCCTTCATGCAACTCTTTGCAAACTGGAACCTGTGGCTGGATTTGCAAAATCAGATCCCACACAGGGGTGGGAAAAGGTGGAGAGGCCAGGAAGACGGTGCCACGAATCATGATCCTGCAAGGATTGGGAAGGAGTTGTGTGAACTGCCGTGAGTCTCTCAACTTACGTCTGCCTGGGCATCCCGGAATAGTACCTAGCACATAGGGAGCATGCTGGGAGCATACTGATACCCTGGATAAAGCACTGAGAAGGGCGCCCAACCTCTGTCCAACACTGCAGGGCAGGCTGTAGCCTTTTGGAAGCTGGCCTGCAAGACCTTTTTTGGTGGTGGTGTGGGAGCTGAGAATGAGGCAGAAAAAGAGAAGCCAACTTCTAGGTGGCACAGGAAGAAAACAGCCAAGAATTAGAAGACAGAGTTTGTTCTGTTGGTGGGTCATCCCACAGGCTGGTCTTTCAACCCACTTAATGAAGCAGATGGTTGTAGCCATTGCAAAAAGGCCTACTGAAATAAACTGGATTCTGGGCATTTTGACTCCAGTTTAGGATACAGTCTATTATTATTATTATTATTATGGGCTGTATATTATTCATCCATAATGGTCTTCGGTATGTGACGTGATTTCCCCATAATGCATCATCACCTACCAAAAGACCTCAATCTGGTATCTTTGGAATGTCTCAAATCCAGAACTGGAGAGTTGGATGGGAGAGATCATCGTCCACAATCAAATCTTTGAAGCCACCCATTATTTTTGGTCTACCTTGGGAGGATGGGAATTGTTAATCGAGCCCATTTGTGTGGTCGTAAGTCTTGCGGGGGAGGGGTGTGTGGAAAAAACAATAAGGCTAAGGGGGGAGGGGTAGAAAAGCGGAACCCAGAAACCTCTCCGAGGCTCAACAGATTAAAAAAAAAAAATAGCTATTGGCTTTTAGCAAATACAGTATTTCTCCCTGTGGTTTTTCTGAGAAATGTTTTAAAAGGCCCGGAGAGATTTAAAAAAATAAAATAAATAAAAATAAAAGACACCGTGCCCACCCACCAGCCCTTGCCAAGATAAATGCTGGAACGCATCAGAAAGAAAGGTATTTCTCTGGTCTTCTTTTTCTTCCCGATTTTGTTCTTTATAAGAAAAAGAGAACGAGGACTTTGGGGAAACACACCAGCGTCCGGCGTTTCAAGAGCCCCGGTGGGAGGTTTTTTTCTCCTCCGCGAGCGATTCCCGGCAACTGTGGCTGCTGGCTAGGACCCTGGTCTTGCTCTCGGCCGCGGCCGGCCTCTTGACGCTCACCACGAGTGGGGAGAAGGACTTGGGGAAGTCTGGGAGGAGCAGGCCATTGGGCGGCAAGTTGGACTGAAGATGGAGAGAGAGCATCTGGGAGCTGGTCAAAGGGTTCTCGCCATCGCTGGGGCCGCTGGCCGGAGGCAGCTTGGCCCCAAAGGTTTGCTGGAACCAGGTGGTGTAGGACTTGTCTTTGGATTTCCCGCGGGAGAGGTTGAGGGCCTTGCCCTGCTCCTCGGCGCCCTCGGCTTTATCCGGGGCGGCCGGAACGGGCTTGATGATGTACTGGTTGCCGCTGGTGCAGACTTGATGTCCCCGGAGGATGGCTTTGACGGAAGGGCAGCAGGTCAGGCTGGGGACGATGGAAATCTGGATCTGAGGCATGGGGAGGGGATCTCGCCGGGCGCCTTTGCTGGGGGGCACAGCCAGCCCTTCAGGAGCGCCAGAGGGCTCCCCCCTGCTGTCTCCCTTGCTGTCCGCCTTCGGCAGCTTCTCGGGGATTTTGGGTTTGTCCAGCAGAGGGCTGGGCAGCATGGGGCTGCTGCTCCTGGCGGCTTTCTCCAGGCTGGCCCGGGGGATCTTGAGAGAACAGAGGGACGTCTTGCTTTTGGCCGGCTGGGGGAGCCCGTTGTTGGACGCCGTCCCGTTGTAGAGGAGGCCAAAATGGCAGAGGGACTCCAGAGGGAGGATGCTCTGGTTTTTCTGAGCCTTGGTGAAGATCTCGAGGGTCAGATCTGAAAGCGGAGAGGAAAGCAAGAGGGGTGTGTGTGTGTGTGTTGTCAGGACTGAACCTTTGCTTCGCTTCTTTCACACCTAATGCTTTTCAACTTGCCAAGGGAGGGGAGGGAAGAGGGATGTGGGGAATGTAGGCAGAGATCCTGCTCAAGAAAGAGGTGGACGGTTCGCATAACAAAAGGCCGTCTCATCATGGGGAATTTTAGAATAGAATAACAGAGTTGGAAGGGACCTTGGAGGTCTTCTAGTCCAACCCCCTGTTTAGGGAGGAAACCCTACACCACTTCAGACAGGGTTATCCAATCTCTTGTTTAAAACTTCTAGTGTTGGAGCATTTACAACTTCTGGAGGCAAGTTATCCCACTGATTAATTGCTCCAACTGTTAGGAAATTCCTCCTTAGCTCTAGGTTGCTTCTCTCCTTAGTTAGTTTCCATCCATCGCTTCTTGTCTGGCCTTCAGGTGCTTTGGAGAATAGCTTGACTCCCTCTTCTTTGGGGCAGCCCCTGAGATGTTGGAAGACTGCTATCATGTCTCCCCTAGCCCTTCTCTTCACTAGACTAGTCATAACCAGTTCCTGCAATCGTTCTTCATATGCTTTAGCCTCCACTCCCCTTAATCCTCTTCTCTGCACTCTTTCTAGAATCTCAACATCTTTTTTTCCATCGTGGCGACCAAAAACTGAATGCAGATTTGATCAACCAGGGGTGGGGGAGAAGGAGAAAGTATTGTTTTCAACAGGGCAAAGCATTGGTGCAGGAAACCAGAGCTGGTTTCGATTCTTCAGTACCGACATGGTATATCCAATAAAGTTCGGCAACTTACCCAGCGTCTCGTTCACCACCATGGGAATCACGGTCCTCAACGCCGTGCAGTTGCTGTGCAATGCAGGGTTGGCGTTCATTTCCAAGAGCCACACCTGTGAACGTAAATACTGGTTATGTCTATATGGAGATTCTCAGTCATCCGGGTCATGGTTGTCCCCAAAGGGCTTTTTTCTTTTTTTCCAAGAGGCAATTGGACTTCCTGGTTTTTCTTTGAAGACGTTTTGCTTCTCATCCAAGCAGCCTCTTCAGCTCTGACCGAAGGGTGGGGAAACTCTGACCATCCAGTCAGAACTGAAGAAGCTTTTCGGATGAGAAGCAAAACATCGTCAAAAAAAAACAAAACTAGAAATTCCAGTTGCCCCCCTGAAAAAAATCCCCTTTGGGTGACACTGGTTAAATTGAGGCCTACAATACCCCCCCCACACACACACACACACTTTTGTGATGGTTTATTCAAAATTTCAAAAACATCCCTCCTAAATCTCTCCAAAGCTTAAAACTGAACGTGTTTTCTTTGGCTTTGTTCTTTTATTCCCTCACTCCAACTTTTTTTTCCAAGTCCAGATCAAATATCACAGAAATAATTATCAGGGAAATAATTCTAAAAGGCAAAATAAAAAACAGGCAGAGTTTTTTTAAAAAAACAACAACACCACACCAATGTATTTTTGAACCAGAATCGTGATTATGTACTTTTCCCGTTTCTTGTCCAATTTGTTTCCATTTGGGGTTCTCTACTTTTGGCCAAGCCCCTTGTCTTCCTAGAGTGTGTGACATGGGGACTGATTACACAATTATCAATCCACATTTGTATAACCACAATTTGCTGAGCCTTGGTGGCGCAGTGCAGTACTGCAGGCCACTTCTGCTGACTGCTGGCTGCCTGCAATTTGGCAGTTCAAATCCCACCAGGCTCAAGGTTGACTCCGCCTTCCATCCTTCCGAGGCGGGTCAAATGAATCCTTCCCTCCCTCCTCCCAGTGGTTAGAATGCAGTATTGCAGGTTGTCTGCCCACTGCCAGCAGTTCGATCCTGACCGACTGGCTCAAGGTTGACTCAGCCTTCCAAACTTCCAAGGTCGATAAAAAAAGGACCCAGATAGTTGTGGGGCAAGAGGATGACTCTGTAAACCTCTTAGAGAGGGCTGTAAAGCACTGTAAAGCAGTATATAAGTCTAAGTGCTATTGCTATATTGCTATTGCTATATGCTCTGGCTGGCTTCGCAAGACAACCCAAGCCCCCAAATCATGTTTTATTCTAGTATCAAATAACAAAGTTGTACTGTAGCTATGCTGAACCTCAGAGACTAGAATCCTCTCCGTTCTATCAAATTCAATTTCCCCGGTTTCTTAAAAATAAAGCAATTTGTATTTTTACAGCCGGTTTGAATCTTCCAGCCTTAAAATCTCCCCTGAAAATATTTTGTGTTTTTTTGCCACTGGGTGACGCTGGAATTCCACTCCAGTTTCTGCTAAGTTTTTGTTTCTTTTTTGGCTAGCAAGAGGTAAGTGGGAGGGGGAAAAAAATAAGGGAGATGATGATCTTTGCAGAAACAGGTGGTGCCTTTGGGAAACCCCATCCTTCGCCCCCGAAATGTCCCCATAGGACCAACTTAAGCTGATAACAGAATGGACCTATTTTCCTGGATTTCCACCACACACAAGACAAAAGGCAAAACCAGGCTGGATGGATGCAAAGCAAACAGGCACCCGTACCCACAATGTGTAATGAGTTTGCAACTCGGCGAAAATTAAACGGTGCTTTTTCATCGGTGGCAATTAATCCAGAATAACAAGGTGATCTACGATTACTAATAGATCTTGGGGAAAAAAAGAGGACTGTAAAAGAGACAGATTGACTCTCCCAGGAGTTTGCAAAGCGATTAATTAACCACAGGGGAGATAAAATCTAGCTTATACAGTTCACTTTTATATGTTTGAAGATGTAGAGAAATTGTCACGGATGGGAGGGGGGGCCCTCTTTCCTTCCCCAAATTGCAGGTGGGTACCTTAAAATCTTCATCGATTAGGAAGTCGCAGCCGATGAGATCAAAGAAACCCAGTTTGCACTCCAGCTTGGATTTGACGGAGAGAAAACACTGTAACATGATTTCTTTCATTCTCTTCTGCAAAGCACAGGAGACAAATATTGGAGTGGGGTGGTCCCCCCCAAAATAGACCCTCCCTTTTTGAAGAAAATATATTACCCAAGACTTCTTTTCCGGAGAATACATTGCTAAAGGTAAGGGGTGGAAAAAAAAACAACCCAAACCCAAATTGCAAGATATAGAGCAGTTATAAGATTTTTCCAACTTGGCAACTTTAGGATGTGTGCGCACTTCAACTCCCAGAATTCCCCAGCCAGCATGAAAACCCACATGCCTTACATTTTGCCAAATTGGAGAAATATTTCTCTAAAACTGTCTGTTCCATTGATTTTTTTCCCCACCCACCCACCCACTCCTGGGAAACGTTCACAGAGTGGGGATGAAATACGGATTTCAATATCCTCTACAAATAAAATGGTAAGAATAATCCCGGCTCACTTTGTAATTTTAGAGTTATACCCATTTTCTCAGGAAAAATCTGGGAGTGATTTTCTGTGGGTTTTTCCCCCCTTAGGTTGGTTTTTCTTTGGCCTTCACAATCTAGTTCAGAGGTCTCCAAACTTGGCAACTTTAAGACTTGTGGACTTCAATTCCCAGAATTCTCCAGCCAGCATAGCTGGGAGTCCACAAGTCTTAAAGTTGCCAAGTCTGAACTAGTTTACAGATCTGGTCTTTTCTGGTGGTCTCCTTTTCAAGTATGGGATTCTCAGATTCTTAGGCCAGACAAGTTCGGCCTGCGGCTATCTTCTGTTGACACGCTCAGAAAATAATCATTTCTAGATCTTCTATTTAGTCTGGTTTCCCTCCTAACTCTACCCGGCTACCTAAACTAAGTTAATCTCATTCCCATTAGGCATTCTAGGAAAGAACTGATGCACCTGCCTTTTTCCTCTTCCTTCCCCAGCCACCTTTCCTTGTGTGCTATGCCTCTCTCACCACTGACCTTAACAAGCAGCCCAAGGGAAAAAATAAGGATGGATTTAATCAACAAAAAACTTACGGTAAAGCTGTTGAAGACCCAATCTCTGGGGAGCCCCTTGGCTTGTCTGAACTTCTCGTTGACGTAGTTGTTGAAGCGCTCCATCAGCCATACCGTCTCCTCCTTGACGTGGGAGTAGATGGGGCTCTTCTTTTGCACGTACTGAAAGTTGAGCGAAGGAGAAATTTAAAAAAAAAAAAATGAAAATGTGGCTCGGATAGGTGACTGCTCAGGTCAAGCCTCAAGCCCAAATTGACTCTGTGTTTTTATCCCCTATCCATTCCTTTGTCTATATGGCATGAGCATCGCTGGCTTTAAAAAAATATTTTTCCTTTTCTTTCTCCTGTTTTGCCTCTGTTCCTTGATTCCAGTTGGAGGATCCACAACCACAGCAAGAAAGAGGGTTGTATTTACTTTGGGTCTCTGCCTGGACATTTGCTAAAATTACACGAATTTTAAATGCTCTGGGTTGGTTTTTTTTTGAGGCTTCCCAGGGAGAGTTTGACTAACAGGCAGGCTAGAAACCAAGGGATGATAAGCCGGGGGAAGTTGATTGAAAATCTCAGCTCTTGCAAAAAAAAAGACAGAGAGAGAGAAAGAGATTGAGAGAGCGGGGAAGAGATAGATAGATAGATAGATAAATAGATAGATAGATAGATAAATAGATAGATAGATAGATAGATAGATAGATAGATAGATAGATAGATCAATGGATGGATGGAGGGAGGGAGAGAGAGAGAGAGACAGGGAGAGGGAGACAGAGATATCTAAAGAGTTCTTCAACTAGCTGCATTTAATCTTATTAACTATTTAACTTCTTAATTGAGGCCAAATTTACTATCTTCCCTTCTTGCTTAGACTGCTTTGCTAAATTCCGCAGAGGACAAAAAGCAGAAGCTAAAAAAAAACAACCCCAAAAACCCAGCACTTTGCTTTCCAAATCCATTTCCACTTCCCCGGGCCAAGCAGAAAAGAGAAGCAGGATCCAATTGCAGGGAAAGAGAAAAGGGACGGAGGGGGAGGAATGCGGAGTTTGTCAGCCGCTTGGGCAAGTTTTCAAACCCTGCTGGATTCCAGGAGATAAACTTGGTCTCTGGGAAATTTAAAAAAAAACCACAAAACAAATAAAAAAGACAAAATAAAACCCAGCAGAACATCTTTTTTTGGGCGGGGGGCCAGGAGTCTTTGTGGAGCATCCGGTGCCAACGGCTGTCTTTAACGCAGAGCCAAACAACAAGCCGTCTGAATTGGGCAACACAAAGGCAATAGCTTGGTCACTGCAACAGGTGCCCAGAGACAATGCCTAGTGGGCAGAGCTGAAGGAAACCACACCTGCTCCAGATGGCTCTGTTTGCCAGTGATGTCTCTCTTTTTTTGATCTGGTGTCTCTTTTTTTTTGATCTGGCACCTGGACCCTTCAGGGAAAATAATCTTAAAGCAGATATATATACCTAATCATTCATATTATTACAGCGGCAAGATTATTAATTGCCCAAACGTGGAAGTTAAAAGGAATACCAAACAATGAAGCAATAATAGAAAAAAAAATTTTTTTTCCAGTGCACTGAATTAGATAGTATGATGTTAGAACTGAAAAAGCGAGACGCTTCAGAATTCTATGTAATATGGGAAAAGTTTTATAATTGGAGGGAGATGAAAGGAAGTCTGAAAAATGTGAAATAGAATTTAAGAAGAGATTATCTTGTAACATAATATCTAAGACAGAAACCAATACAAAAATTACAATGTAAATATATGTATAGCTGTATAAATGTATATAAATGTCTATACTGTTTGATGGTATTTTGTTTATATGATAATGTAAAGACTGAAATATATGTCAAAAAGATCACCATGCTCAATGTTTTTAAAACCAAATTTTCAATTAAAAAATTATTAAAAAAAGAATAATCGGGGGTGGGGGGAGAGAGAGAGAGTCTCAGCACTGGTGGTCCTCAACTTATGACTGCAAACGGATTTCTGTTGCAAGGGGGTTGTTAAGGGAGTCGTTCCCGATTTACGACCTTTGATTTCTTTTTCTTTTTCCAACATGGCTGAGACCATCTTGGACGTTTCAGAGTTGCCACCAAGCCTGTTCTGTTTCTATTCTCTTCTATATTTTCTTCTATATTCTATATTCAATATTCTATTCTATATTCTATTCTATTCTGCATTCTATTCTTTCCTATTCCTATTCTACATTCTGTTCTGTTCCTATTCTATATTCTGTATTTTGTTTTCTATTCTATTCTATTCTATTCTATTCTATTCTATTCTATTCTATTCTATTCTATTCTAATTCCTAGTCCTATTCCTATTCTATGTTCTATTCTGTTACGTTCTAAAATGGTGAGATTCCACGGTTGGGTCCAAGGCAATTCCCACCTGGTTGGTCAGGTGAGAAGTGAGATCATTGGATTTGGGGTCGTAGTTGAGGCAGGTGAGGCGGACGTAACCGTGGCCGAAAAAGACCATGTACGGCACGGTGCAGGCAATCAACAGGTAAGAGCGGACGTCAAATTTTTTCCCCTCCAGCAGCAGCGGACGGTCGATGTACCTGAGGCGAAGGAAGGGTAGGTGAGCTGGCCGAAAACAAAACGGTTGTTTCTAAGTCACCTGGGCACTTAACTCCCTGGATCGTGCAGGACTACAACCCCCATGGGGCTGTTCTTGGTGCCAGGGGCCCACCAGTTGGGTTCAGGGTCCCCATGCTGCTTTTCCACAGGGTGTAATTTCTTTTTTTCCACAGCAGCGATGCCAAAGGATTTGTGGTATTATTATTATTATTATTATTATTATTATTATTATTATTATTATTA